CAACCCAACGGAGCCCAGCCAACGGACTCACGGAGCATCAAGAGGGTCGGGGATGACGCCGATTTCCGCGGCGACTTGCAGCGCGGCTAAGACGACCGCGCCTTCCGCTGTCACCAAATAGCGGCTCTCCATGTAGTCGCGGCGCAGCTGCACGTAGCAGAGGCGCACGAACTGGCGCTCCGCCACGTCAGCGTCGGCGCGGTCGAACCAGCGCTTGCGCAGCAGCAGCTTGCACACCACCTGCTGCCCGCGCGACTGGCCCACTTGCGCGGCGGTGCCGTAATCGACCAGGAGGTCGGAGATGTAGGCGCTGCGGGGTAGCAGCACGTGCTCTGAGGCATGGGGGAGGGGTGAGGGGGGGATGGATTGGGGAGGAGAATCAAGGTGCCGTAATCCAATATGTAGGCTGAGCACGACGGGCAGCACGGTAGCAGCACGAGCTCGTGGATCCAATATGCGGTAGCAGCACGAGCTGTGAGGGGGAGCGCGACGGGCGTGGGGGGAGGGGGGAGGGGGGAGGAGGGGAGACGGGGGACGCAGGGGAGAGGAAAACGGGGCGGGTTGGGGGAACAGAGATTGCAGCAACAGCAGCAGCAGCGGCGGCGGCGGTGGCGGTAGGGAATACAGACGATCGGTCTTAATCCACACCGTTAAACTCACCCACGACGGCTGGCGGAATAGCGGCGCCCTTCTTTCCGCCGGGGGAGGCGGAGCCGGCGGCGGGCGCGGAGCCGACGAGCGGGCGCGTGGCGCGGCTGGTGTAGAGCGCGAAGGGGGAGGTGGCGGAGACTTGCAACTTCTTACAGAGGATCTGTCAAAGAGGGCAGGGGACAGGGTGACAGGGGGACAGGAGGGGAGGGTGGAGATAAGGGAAGCGGGAGTGTGAGCGGGTGTGCGGCGCGGCTGGTGTAGGGCACGAAGGGGGGGCGTGGTGGATAATTGTACAGAAAATGGGAGTGACTGGCGTGTTTTGAGACGTCTCAAAACACGTGGCGGGTGATTCTACAAAAACAGGGAGTGACTGGTTTGAGGGATGTCATGGTTTCGGGTTACGGGTTCAGTGCTAAGGCATTCCGGGGTTCGGGGCTCAGTGTTTTAACGGCTCACCTTAACCGCCTCCTCCGCCGTGGTTGTCGGCCCATAGTGAATATTCTCCGGCGCGTCGTTGCACAGAAACACCGGCACCACCATCGGCGTCCCCGTTATAAGCGCGCGAACCTCCTCCTCCCCCGGTATGGTCTCGCGCGGCCCGTGCTCCAGCCCGTGCTCGAGCGCCTTCCACGTCAGCCGCAGCGCGCCCAGGATCCCCGGGTCGCACTTGGGGTCCGCGGCGAGCGCGGTGAAATAGTCGACTAGGGGCGTCGCGACGGTGGTGGTCGGCGGAAAGATGTACGCGCAGTAGCGCATTAACTCCCACGCCTTGATACACGAGTCGCTGCGAAGATATGGAAAGATGTGGGCGCGCGCGGGAGCGGGGGGGAAAGGGCGGGGCGGAGGGAGGTGCGGGAGAAGCGGGAGGTTTCAAGACGGCCATACGGTGAGGGGGAAAGATGTACGCGCATGAGCTCCCGTGCCTTTATACACGAGTCGCTGGAGAAGATAGGGGCGCGCGGGGGAACGGGGGAGCGGGGGAAGAGGGCGTGGGGGAAAGGGGAAGCAAGGGGCGGGGTTTTTCTCTACGCCGGCACATGGGGAAAAGGGGGACGGTGTGCGCGCAATAAGGATGAGAGACAGAGGGGAAGGGAGCGGTGAGCGGGCGAGGGGAATAGGCAATAAGGGGAAATGCACTGCTTACCGATAATCGTTCGCGCGCGTCTGCTTCTGTAACTGCAGAAACAGCTCGTCGCGAAGCAACGGCTCTTCGCCAATCGTCTGCAGCACGCGCGCAACCAGCGCGATCTCCGCCGCCGGCGTTAGCCTCCCCGCGGGGCCTCCGCCGATGAACGTTGCGCCTCCCGCGCCTCCCCCGAGCCCCATGAAGCGCAGAATTTCCCCGAATAGGCGCGCGGCGGGTTCCTGCAGCGCGCGGTGTAGGCGCAGCATGGGATGGGGGAACGGGTCCTGGGGGAAGGGGAGAAAAGGGGGAAGGAGGGGGTAGGAGAGGGGAAATACAAAGGGGGAGTGGGAGAGAGGAAAAAGCGGATCCAGGTTCCATTCCTTGGCGTCAACAACAGAAATACGCTGTCAATCTACGATAAAATTATAATCATAATTCGACTTTACGCACGCACTGGTTGGTAGGTGAGCGCATCGCGGACGGTGTACGGCTCGGCGTGCATGAGTTGCTGGGAGAGCATTGAGCTGCCCCATGATCATAAATATGATTCGTAGTCTTTACTATCCTTATTCATAATCATTATTCTTCTTAAGCGGATGGACGCACGCACCGGTTGGAAGGTAAGCATATCGCGGACGGTGTACGGCTCGGCGTGCATGAGCTGCGGCGGCGACACGAGCCCGAGCATCTGGCGCTTGGCGGCGGCGGCGTTGCGGAGGCGCGCCATGGAGTGAACGAAGACGTCCACCTGGCAACACGCGTAGAGCGCCTCGACCGCCTCGAGATTGCCGCCGGGCATGAGCCTGGTGGTGGTGGTCGTCGTCGTGTGGGTGTGGGTTTGTGTGTGTGTGGGGGGGGGGGGGGGGGGGGGGGGGGGGGGGGGGGGGGGGGGTGGTGGCGGGGGAAGAGGGATTCAAACGGTATGACTATCGACTTGAACGAACAACTCCACCTGGCAACACGCGTAGAGCGCCTCGACCGCCTCGAGATTGCCGCTGGGTATGAGCCTGGTGGGGCGGCCAAGCGGGGGCGGCTGGGTGAGGGTGGGGATGGAGGGGGGAGGGATGCGGATCGGCGGGGACACGGGGGAAAAGGGATTTGAATTGTATGCCTTTGAAACAACTTGTGATTGAAATGTCCCACACGCGAACGAAGTCCACGCGCAACGCCCCGTGACTCACATGACTTCGATGAATGCATCTTTCGCCGATTTGGCGAGGAGCGGCGACGTGCTCATGGTTGCGAGTGGTGCAGCGAAGAGATTGTGGGCGCGAGAGAATGGCAGGCGCCTGGGGGCTTCTGAGAGCGGGCGGTTCGTAGGTATGAGTGACCACTTCTCCAAAATACCAAAAGTGCGAGAATAACTGACACCTGGGGTCTCCTAAGTGCGGGTGGTTTTAACTATCTTTGGGTGTCGCGAATTTGGAAGGGAGAGGCCCTTCGGAAGGGCTGCGGCACAGCTGAAAAGCCCTAGGCAGTTGAGAAGTCACTGGCAGGAGATACTAGCGGAAGAGATCGCAATCGCTCTAGCAGTCAGGAGTCGAAATGGAGAGCCGTATGTTGCTGGCGAGGTCTAGCACGAGTTTTTAGATGTGGATTCGAGGGTCACTAAGAGTCAAGTGGAATACGTGAAGGAGCTCTGTTCTTGGAAGAGTGTACGATAGAACGATGAACGGATGATCCAAGCTGGTCTGGGCTGGGCCAAAAGCGTTTAGGGATTGTGCTATCAACTAGGCTTGATGCTGGTGGGGCAAATAGGGGAGAGTGAACAGATCCGACCCGAAGTGGCTTGCACCTTGCAAGCGCTGGGAATGGGGCGAGTACGGGGGACGCGCGCCGCCAAGGGTGTCAAGCAAGGGTTCATCCTGGCCCGCTATTGCTGAGCCAATGGATGGGGTGACGGGGCGCCGATGACGAGGGTCAGTCAGTGGAACATACATGAGCATATCAATCTGTGGAAGAATTGCGCAGTACTACAGGAACACCCGGCTTTGGAGAGTGCTGGTGCGAGCGAGGCACGCATTGTGACATTGGCGAGGAAGAGGATGGCATTTTGAGCCGAACCGCATGATGCAATGTGTAGCGACTCGTGATTTTACGAACGAGGCGCGATGTGACAAAGGCTCCAAACGAGGGCTGCGGTTGGAGATGAACCGAAAAGGCGACGACCATGCTTGAGTGACTTGTTTTGACCTCGCCCCCTCGCTATATGCACAGCCATCAGCAAGATGGAAAAAACAGGAATATCGAAATTGCGGGCTTACGGTAATTCACTAGCTTTAGCCTAACAAGTCCAAACAGAGATAACTACATTTTGAATATATTTACAATTTTGACAACGCATTGGCTGTCACAGTGATTTTTTTATATATTTTTTTATAATGCACTGCGTATAGAGTAGATGCAAGTAGGGGCGCTCCTTTCATTTAACAAACTTCACGTGTCTGCTCATAACCTACTTATGAGGTGTACTAATCCACATTACATTTTGATTCGGAATATGACGGGGATAGAGATTGCAGTCACACGGGCGGCGTGGCCAGCACGCTAACCCTCACGCGTTTTCGCGTAAGCAAAGCGAAGGCAGAAACGGAAATGTAACGTGACTGTGGGAAATCAACGACGCGTCACGAACTCGTCGGCGGCGTCGTCACTTCACGAAGGAAATCGCTGACCTTCCTGAACTTGGCGTCACGAAGGCCCAGAGGTCAAAACCCAGGGCTTGCTTTCTGGCGGGAAAACCCTTTTCGGACGACTACAGTAAAATACCGAGCTGTACATGGGGAGTTGCGTGGGCATTGGGAATGTGTGGCGTGGCGTGTTGTGAGGCAATATCGAGGTGACACACTTGACTGACACTCCTGCCCTACGAGATTGGTTGGTTTGTGAGTGTGGCTCTCAAGCAACCGCGTGACTCACACGCATTATCGCAGGAATTGATGGTTGCTTGAGTCTATGCGGCTCGGTAGCTCCCAAGTTCCTTATAGTTCCTGGCTTGATTAGGACGGGACATTATTGGCTGCAGTTCCTAGTTACGGCTCTGTCGCTCGGACTGCTTTCGTAGTTCCGTTCAATTAGATTATCCCCCAGGGCGGAAGCCTTCACTGCATTTTGCCAATTCGCCGAAAAACGCCGACCGTCTCTCGCACATTTGGCTGTATACTTCACTCTAGGGGCACCTTCGCCATCGCCAGTGGTGCAAGGCCCTGCGAGCACGGTCCTAATGGCTGACGCAGCCGAAGTTCCGGGAATGCTGACCAATGGCATAAGCGGAATGGGAGGCGCCGTAGATTTGCTAACGTCACTCGTGTTTCGATCACCCGGCCAAGGTGGTTTTCCACCCGTCAACGGATTTTTGAACGGCGATGACGACGCAGCGGCAGCAGCCTTTGGCGAGTTCAACCAGACCGACAATGGCACGCATCCTTACAGTCACATCGACTTTCAAAAAAAGCCCGCTCTTTTCCTGGCGCAAAGCGTGCTCAATCTCGTGCTTCCCGCGTCGTCACCGCTCTACCCCTTTATAATCACCCTCCTCTCGGCTTTCTCCCCCATTTTGGACGGCTTCTTACAACAATACCTCCACAACGACTTTTTTGCGGGCAGCGTTTGGCTCGTTGCGATCGGTCTGGTGGGCAGATACCTTCTAAGCTGGTTCCATTGGTCACTGGATTGGATGCGACACAGGGGAAATGTGACTGTAACGATTTCGCCGAACGACCAGGCATTCACGTGGATCCAGGAATGGCTGAACGGATATAAGAAGCTGAGGCCGTCCGAGTTTACGCTGAATCTGGAATGGCCGTCGGACGATGAAGCGAGTGGCGAGGACCGTAATAAGCCGATTGTCAAGTTCCTTCCCAAGTTGAAGGCTGCGCAACACATCACATTCAATGGTGCCAAGGTAAGCTGTTCGATTAGGTCATGCAGACGCTTTCTTCTCCTAGTTGCACATTTCTCTTCTCTATGTGCTTCAATCAACTCCCCCTCACGTTTCCCTCACACCTGTCCGTCTTCCTCGCCCCTCGCCCTCCGTCCCTCCGCCAGGTGTCCTTTCAAATGCGCAACAGCCCAGGTCAGCTGGACCAAGGGGCGGAATTCGGTGACATTCTCCGCTCAATGAACCGCGAGGAGCTCGTAATCGAAGCGCCCTCTCAGGCCGTCCTTCAGGCAGTCGTGCAAGCCGCTACCGATGCCGCTATGGTGAAGAAAATTGAGAAGAAAATCACGTCTGTGAAGCGGTGGAGCGCGGAGCAAGATTACTGGAAGTACCTGGGGGAACGCGCGAGCCGGCCAGTGTCGACGGTGGTTTTGGACTGCGATACAGGCGCTCTTATCGACGACGTGAAGCAGTTCTTAGCGAGTGCAAAGTGGTATACAGACCGGGGTATCCCTCACCGCCGGGGGTATTTATTCCATGGGCCGCCGGGTTGCGGCAAGACGTCTTTAATCCAAGCCCTGGCCGGGGAGTTGGATTTTGGAGTGGCGATTATCAGCCTATCTTCCTCTGGTATGAGCGACGATTCCCTGAGCACTGCTATGTGTGACTGTGACGAGCGGGACGTGATTGTACTGGAGGATATCGATGCAGCGTTTACAGCCACTAGGGAGAAGAAGGAGGGGAGCCAGGCGAATGGGCTGTCGTTTTCTGGCCTGTTGAACGCGATCGACGGGATTGCCGCCCGGGAGAAGCAGATTGTGATCATGACGACGAATCATATCGAGAGATTGGATCCTGCGCTGATCCGCCCCGGGCGGGTCGACTTTCGGATGTTTCTCGGCCTCGCTAGCCGCAGCCAGATCGTCCGTCTGTTTCTGAGATTCTTCTCGGAAGCTTCTGAGAAAGAGGCGGAGAAATTTGCGGGGATGTTTGAGGAAGGAGAGGTGAGCCCTGCGGCTCTCCAGGGATTCTTTCTGCTGCACAGGGGGAGTGCTGATGCTGCCATGACCCACGGGCCGGCTTTTGTAGAGGGAGTGAGGGAGGAGAGGAGGGAGAGGGAGAGGAAGGAGGAGGAGAAGAAGAGGGAGGAGGAGGAGGGGAAGGGGGAGGGGAAGGGAAGAAGGGGTAAAGGGAGGAAGGGGAAAGGTGCGAGGAAAGACAGCGGGGTGGAAGAGATTGTGATTGAAGAAAGTGATGCAGTCGGGGAGTCCGATGACACTGAAGTGGAGTGTGATAATATCGAAGACAGGAAGTCTGATGGGAGTGGGCATGATACAGATGAGAGTGGGGTAGAGGAGAGTGATGCAGAGGAGAGTGATGCAGAGGAGAGTGATGCAGAGGAGAGTGATGCAGAGGAGAGTGATGCAGAGGAGAGTGATGCAGAGGAGAGTGATGCAGAGGAGAGTGATGCAGAGGACGAGTGATGCAGAGGACGAGTGATGCAGAGGACGAGTGATTCAAAGGATGGGTGACTTAAGGGTGTGGATGAAGAGGAGAATGTAAGTGAGGTAGTTGAGTGAACTGACTCGGCTGACGAAAAAGCCCATGACACGGTGGAATACCGTACCTCTGCCTGACGAATACCGTACAAGTAAGGGAAGACGATGAGGGTGACGTGACAGTGAGCTTTGGGTCGATTCAAAAGGCCGACAAATGTACCCATGAAAGGGCGGGATACCTCTGTCTGGCGAATACGGGTGGGAAGATGAGGGTGACGGTGAGTAGGGCGGATAGGCCCTGTGTGTCAGTACAGTCTGGTAAAATGATTCGAGCATAGCATACACAGAGCGCACCTCTGAAAAGTGTGGTGCGGAATGTGGTGCTACCGTAGCTGGCTTGCTTTAGTTCGTTCAGTGCGCGAATGTACAGATGTAGGTATGTATACCGTATGTGTATTGAAAAGATGATATCGAAGACAATTGCTGGATTCGAAGTGCTCTCCTCTGTTGCATGTACAGTAAATGTGTGCCTAATGTTTTTCTCCGCTGCGTCGGGGCTCACGGATCAATTTTATAGGGTAAGGGGAGGAAGGAGAGGGAGAAGGAAGAGGGGGAGGAGGGGGAGGAAAAGGAAGAGGTGGCACATTTTTCTTTCGACATGTGGTGTTCACATGACATGTCATTTTCTTTTCCACAAGCCTACTCATCTGTGTGGATTCATGGTCTGGCAGTGAACAGACGAAAGATCGACTAAGTAGGACAAAGCTGGACAAACAAAGCAAGGAAATCAAAGAGAAGTACCTGAAACAAGCATAGAAAGGAGAGAAAACTATTTCCATCTCCCACACATTATTCTAGTTGCTCAAAGTTTCATGCAGCAGCAGGGATTGGTGCAGATGCTGTTGCTCCTCTTGCTGCTGCCGCTCCAGTAGCAGTAGCAGTAGCTGTAGCTGTGCCTGTGGCTGTACCTGCTGCTGCCTGCCCTGCTCCTCCCCTCGCTCCTGCACCTGCTGCCCCCGCTTCTCCTCCTGCTGCTTCTCCTGCTGCCTTACCCCCGCGGCGCTGGTGGTTGCGCCGGCGATTATGGTGATGATGATGGTGGGGGTTGGGGTGGGGTTGCTTGCTGCTCTCGCTGTTGCTGTCAGGGGCACTGGCATGGCCATTGCAACTCCCATTGCCATGTGTCATGTTCCCATTGACATTTGCCATGCTAGCATCAGCAGTGCCGTTCCCGCTGCTGCTTTTGCTGCTGCTGCTGCTGCTGCTGCGGCCGTTGCTGATGCTGGTGCTGGTTCTGCCTGTGTGGCCCCTGTTGCATGAAAGGAGAGAGGATGGAGAGGACGCAACGAGTTGCAACGAGTCGCATAAGAGGTCGACACGAAAGAGAGACAAGCAGTCAGGCACGGAAAAAAAAACGTCTCAGGCAGAGTAAACAAAAGCTGCTGGGTATCTAGGTACTTTCCAATGCCTGTAATACACCAAAGCACACAGCATTGCCCCTCAGACTGCACTGGGTAGCCAGAGCGCGCAGCACCTCGTCTCACCACATAGCATCTCGTAGCATCGCGCACCACCTCACAGCCCCTCACAGCAGCACCACGCCAGCACCCCACACCATCTCACAGCACCATATCCCACCTCACACCCTCTTACAGCACCTCAGAGCACCGCATTGCACCGCCTCAAACACCTACCTGTCGCCCGTGGCCTGCACTGCGAGGAGGCTTCTTCCTCCTAGGCGTCACCACAGTGAATCCATCCTCCCCCTCCCCTGCTGCCTCCCCTTTCTCCTCCCCCTTCTCTTCTCCCTTCCCTTCCCCGTTCAATCCCCCTTGCGCTCCCTCCTCTCCACCACCAGCAAGCCCCCCATTCATCTGTCTCCCTGCTGCCCCATGCTCCCCCCCACCCTCCACTGCCCCATGGCCCCTTCCCTGCGCTCTCCCCCCACCCCTCCCACCCCTGCGCCTCCCCTCCCGTGCCGCCCTCCCATTACTAACGCCATCCCGTGTCCCTTGAGGGCCCTTTCCCTGTGCAGCCGCAGCTGCTGAGTGCGCCTCGCCATTCCCCAGTATTCCCACACCATCAGAAACACCTGAGGCCCCTGAAGCACCTGAAGCACCTGAAACACTTGAGACTGCTGTGGGTCCATCAGCTAGCTCCTGATCAGGCGTCACAGCAGGTGGATGCTGGGCTGGCTGGGTTGATTTCGGTGCCCAGGTGGTTCGAGGGACAGAGGTCCCTCGCCTCCTCCCTTGGCCTCGCTGCCCCTGCTGCTCCTGCCCTGCCTTCTGCCCATGCGGATGCTGCCCCTCCTGCAACCCCTTTTGCCCCTCCTGCTGCTGCCCCTTCTGCTCCTGTCGCTGCCCCTGCTGCTCCTGCTGGTGTCCCTGCTGCTGCTGCCACTGTCCCTCCTGGTGCTGGTGCTGATGATGCTGCTGCTGTCCCCTCCCCCTGTTTGCTCCGTGCTTCCCATGCTGCTGCTGCCACTGCCAATGATTCCGCTGCTGATGCTGCGGATGCTGCCGGTGGTTCTGCCGCTGCCGGCCCTCTCCCCTGCCCCCACCCACCACCTCCTTATCCACTGGTACGGTCACAGATGACACAGCACATATAGACTGTCCATCTCTCACATATCCATTCGCTTCTGCCGAACCACCATTAAAACCCCCATAACCAGCAGCAGCAGCATCAGCAGCAGCTTCCGCCCTATCCTCTTCATCCATCAAATCAGCCATATCGGCCCAAGACATGGAGACTTTCATGCTGCTCTTGCCCCTCTCCTTCTCATCCTCAATCTCAGCCATATTCACACAGGACATCGATGCTTTCATGCCGCCCACTTTCATGCCGCCCTTCCCCCTCTCCTCCTCATCCATCAAATCAGCCATATCGGCCCAAGACATCGATACTTTCAGGACGCTCTTTCCTCCCTCCTGCCTCCCCTTCGCTTGCTCAAACTTCCCTCCCTGCTTCCCCATCGCCTTACTCCCTGCATTCACTTCATCCTCTTCACCTTTCCCCCCCTTTTTCACCTCCTCGCTTCCTGGGTCGCTTCCTGAGTCACTCAGCGTGAGCATTGATACTACTTGCCCTTCTTCCTGTTCCTCTGTCTCCCCCGTCCTTCCCTTCTCCATCTTGTGCTTTTCCACCCCTTTTCCTTCCTCTGCACCCCTCTCAACCTCACAGGGCTGGGGAGGGTCACAACCATCATCCCCAGACACCACAGTCTCGGAAACACACACCTTCACTATCTCAATCACCTCCTCCTCACTCTCCCTTCCCTTCTCCTCACTCTCCCTTCCCTTCTCCTCACTCTCCCTTCCCTTCTCCTCATTTTCCCTTCCCTTCTCGTTCTCCCTCCCCTTTTCCTCACTCTCACTTGCCTTCTTCTTCCCCCTTCCGCTTTCCTCGCTCTCCCCACCTCCTGTCATCTCGCTTTGTACCAAAATCCCATTCTCCTTCCCCACTGCTAACTCAACCTTCCCATCCTCCTTGCCATCCTCCTTGCCATCCTCCTTGCCATCCTCCTTGCCATCCTCCTTGCCATCCTCCTTGCCATCCTCCTTCCCATCCTCCTTGCCATCCTCCTTGCCATCCTCCTTCTCTTCCTTGCCTCCCGCCCCCACTTGCTCGCTCTTCCCTTTACGTTCCCACTGTTGCTCGTGCTTGCCCCCCTTGCTCTGTTTCCCTCTCTTGCCACGAGTCTTTACCCTTTCTCCACTTCCAGCCTTCCCAGCAGCCCCACTAGCAGCACCACCAGCAGCCCCCTCCCCAGCCATCTCTTCACCAGGACCTACACCACCACTAAGCACCGCTCTCCACCCCACCACCTTTGGTCCTCCCGTTCCTCCTGCTGCTTCTGCCACCACTGCTCCTCCTGCTGCGCTTAATGCCACTGCCGATTGTAAGCTTACAGGATGGGTTGCTGCAGCAGCAGCAGACCCAAGAGCACCCCAATTCTTCCCAGGAACGAACTCGAGAGCATGCGGATTCATGGGCTTAATAGCTGGAGCAGGGTGTTTGGGGGACACAGCGGTAGGGGGTGTGGGGGCTGTAGCAGCAGGGGGTGGGGGGATTGTGGCGGCAGGGTGTGTGGGTGCTGCAGCAGCAGGATTGGATGGTGTGACGGTGGTGGGAGCTGATGGTGGGGTGAGTGGGCGTGGTGGGACAGTGGGTTGGTATGGTGAGGCATGTGCACTCAAGCCCAAGCCAGCAGGTGCTGCTACTGCTTCTGCTGCTGCTACTGCTACTGTTTTTGATGCAGTTGGGGTCGCTGGCTGTGCTGCTTCTGATTCTGCCACTGCTGCCACTTCTGTTGATGCTAATGGTGCTGCTGCAGCCGCTACAGCTTCAGGTGCTGCTACAGCTTCAGGTGCAGCTGATTCCTCAGGCTCAGGCACTGCTACAGACTGAGGTGCTGCCTCAGGTGCAGTTGCAGCTTCAGGTGCTGCCTCGGGCTTTGCCACAACCTCAGACGCTTTCTCAGGTGCAGTTACAGCCTCAGGTGCTTCCTCAGGTGCAGTTGCAGCCTCAGGTGCTTGCTCAGGTGCAGTTGCAGCCTCAGGTGCTTGCTCAGGTGCAGCTGCAGCCTCAGGTGCTTGCTCAGGTGCAGCTGCAGCCTCAGGTGCAGTTACAGCCTCAGGTGCTTCCTCAGGTGCAGTTGCAGCCTCAGGTGCTTGCTCAGGTGTAGTTGCAGCCTCAGGTGCTTCCTCAGGTGCCGCAGAATCTGCTGAGGCGTCACTATGAGCAACCAAAGCAGCAGGGTCAGTATTGGCAGCACTGTCAGATACCTCACTCGCTGCAGCAGCACCAGAAGGAGCAGGAGCAGGAGCAGCAGAAGAGGGCAGAGGAGGAAAATCGTCTCCAGAGAGCATCAGCTTCGCATCAGAATTGGCTGGTGATGGAGCAGCGGGAGCAGAAGGAGAGGCAGATGCATCAGCACTTGCGGAAGCCATAACCACGGGCAGGGCATTGGGCACAGGAAGAGGCACCGGCGCCCCCACAGGCACAGACATTCCCAGTGGCATCCCCCCAAGCACAGGCACTCCCAGTGGCATGTGCACAGGCATGTGCATTGGCATGTAGACAGGCGCAGCAGGCCCAGCAGGTATGGTAGGTGCACCTCCCACGGCTACACCAGAACCGGCAGCTGCAGCAGCGGCGGCGGCAGCTGTAGCGGCCGCATTGCGCAAGAACCTGGGTGGGATGAATGCCGGGCGGTTGTAGCGGTGGCTGTAGCGCTGCTGCTGCTGCTGCTGCTGCTGCTGGCTGTACTGCGGCTGGTCTTGCTGGTGCTGCTGGTGATGGTGTGAGTGGGCGTGCGAGTGAGTGTGTGAGAGAGCGTGTGGTTGGGTCTGTGGGTGGTAGTAATAAGGATGATGAGGGTACGGCATGGGGTAATGACCTGGTGGTGCCATGTACCCATGCGGAGGGGCCATCATTGGGTGCATTGGGACTGGAATCAACGGCTGCAGCTGCGGCCCAGCTGTCACTGGCGCTGCTGCTACAGGCGCTGTTGTTGCTGCTGCTACAGCCTCCCCTGCTACAGGCGTCGCTGCTGCTACAGCCTCTCCTGCTACAGGTGCTGCTGCCACAGACTCAGCTATTTGCTCCGCTGATCCTGCTGGTGATTCTACTGGTGCTGCTGCAACAGCTGCTGCAGGGACAGCTGCAGAATCAACAGCATCAGGGGGTGCAATTGAGTTGAGTTCGGTGGAGGGAGGTGGAGGAGGGGAGGAGCTCTCACGGATCTGTGCATGGGAGCCAGAGGGAATCACAGCACCACTAGCTGAGTTAGGGGCAATGGGCACAGAAGACACAACGGGCGCAGTAGAAGCAACGGGCATAGCCATAGCCGTTGTAGTGGCCATAGCCACAGAAGACGCAATGGGTGCGGCAGCGGGTTGGAAAGGAGAAGCCAAGGGGGAGAGCTTGGAGGGGCTCTGAGCTGAACGGGGCAGCACAGATTTAGCTGGAGTGGCGGCAGCAGCAGCGCTGGGATCAGGCGCTTTTCCACCCAAGGCTGCAACAGCAGAATCAACGGCAGGAGCACTAGGAGAAGCCACAGGAGCACTGGGAGAAGCCGCAGGAGCAGAGGTCGCGGCAGCAGTAGCAGTAGTCACCTGCGCTACCACCACTGACACTGTCATTTCCTCTCCCACTTGCTTCTTCCCAGCCGCAACATCACTGCCCTCTTCAGCCTGACCCTCCGTCCCTCTTCCCACCTGCTTCGCCTGCTGCTGCCCCTCCCCTGTGGTTTCTGCAGTCTTGTCGTCGCTAGCAGTGGCAACATCAGTGCTTGGAGTGTTGGCCGCGACAGCAGTGCTTGCAGCGCCGGCACAGACAGCAGTGCTTGCAGTGCCAGTAGAGACAGCAGAGCTCGTAACATCATTAGAGCTCGTGCTAGAGGCTGCTCCCGTGCTGCCTTGGGCGGCTACTGGTACTGCTGCTGCTGCTGCTCCTGCTGCTACTGCGGTGCTCCCTGCAGTGGTGGAAGTGGCAGGGGCATTCTCACTTGTCGTTGAAACTGCAGCCCCAGGTTCTGGCATCACTGGTGCAGCAGCCAATGCCGTTTTGCCAGGTGGCAACAGAGCGATTTCCTTCCAGGAGCGGGTCATGGGCCCTGGTGGCGGGATAGGGGCCCTCTTGGGAGCTGCAGTGGCAGCAGGGGCTGTAGCAGGTGCCGTGGCTGTAGCAGCGGTAGCATTTATAGCAGCTGTCACCGGTTTAGCAGCTTCAGTAGCTGCAGCGGCTGGAGAAGGAACAGTGGCAGCAGTAGGGGCAGTGGTAGGAGGAGTTGCAGCAGGAGGGGCAGCAGCAGGAATGGCAGTGACGCGAGCTGGAGCAGCAGGAGTGGCAGTTGGAGTAGCAGCAGGAGTGGCTGGAGCTACAGCAGGAGCAGCCTTAGCAGGAGTAGAAGCAGGAGAAACGGCAGGAATAGCAGCAGCGTCAGGTCCAGCAATAGCAGAGGCAGTAGGAGCGGAAGCAGTAGGAGACGCAGAAGTGACAGCAGCAGTAGCAGCAGTAGCAGCAGGAGCAGCAGCAGTAGCAGCAGCAGCAGGTGCAGCCGAAACAGCTACCTTGGAGCCAGTACCCACACCCCATGCATTCTTCCTCTCACCCTCTCGTGCAGGGACTGCTGGGCCCAGGGGTGTGGCTTTTGCGTCCCCACCATCACCAGGAGCAGCAGCAGCAGGGACAAGATTCGCAATGTTGGCAACAGCTGCAACCATCGGCTTGGCAGCAGAAGGAGGAGCGGCAGCAGCATGGGAAGGAGCAGCTCCAGGGGCAGGAGTGACGGGCGAAATGCCAGGGCCTACCTTCTGCCTGCTACTCTCCCCTGCCACGCTCCCTCCCCCTCCTACTACTGCTGCTCCTCCTGTTGCCGCTGTTGCTGCTGCTTGCACTTGCTGCTTGGGACCAACCCGTTTGCCTCTAACATCCCCTCCCCTTACCACACCCCTACTAGCTGCCTTAACCCCCCCAACGCCCATCCCTCCTGCTCCTGCTCCTGCTGCTCCTACTGCTCCTGATGCTCCTGATGCTCCAGTAGCAGCAGCTGCCGCCTTGCGCTGGTGGCTGTGCCTGTGAGCGCGGCTGCATGCTGTCTGCCATCCGTCAGAGTCAGCCTCTTCTGCTGCAGCACCAGATACAGCTGCAGTGGCTGCAGCAGCAGCGATCAGAGCGGAAGCAGGTGCAGAAGCAGCCGCAGTGGAAGCAGTAGCAAACGTAGGAGCGTCGGCGGCAACAGCAGCAGCTGCTGCTCCTGCAGCTGCTTCTGCGTTACCATCGGAAAGTGGCCGTGACCCCGTGTCTGCTTGTGCTGGAGCTATCCCTGCAGGTACCCCTGCTTCCACTGCTGCAGGAGCAGTGACAGTGTCACTGACCTCGTTATTAGCACCTCCAGTAGCAGCAGCCTCGGCAGTGGAAGCTTCAACTAGTCCTGAGCTGGTTTTCTCTGCCGATGCTTCTCCACCGGTGGCTGTGCTGTGAGGCGCTGCTGCTAAGAGGCCATTGCTCTTGGGCTGAGACAAGATAAGGAGGGGGAGGGGGAGAAGAGGGAAATGGGGAAGGGGGGAAAGGGGGAGAAGGGGGACGAAAATAAGGGATGAGGAAGAGGGGGAGAAAAGGTGGAGCTAGAGTGGGAGAAGAAGAAGGGGGACAAAAGAGAGGAGGGAGTGATCGTGAGGGGAAGAAGGATGTGCGGGGAGGGACGATATGGGAGGAGAAAGCAGGGGAACGCACTAACGTTGCACATACAGGGTTGGTTTCTGAGAAGTCTAAAAAGGAAAAACGAAAAAGGTCATGGCTTACGCCTCGTACCTTGAGCAAGGGGCGTCGGCCCCTCTTGCGCATGATCTCCTGAATCACCTCCCTCCGCCCCTTTTGAGTCAACTCAAAGCTCAAGCCTCTTACCTTGAGTAAGGGGCAACGTAAGATCCAGGCTCGGGTTTCGTACCTTGAGCAAGGGGCGTCGCCCCCTTTTGCGCATGATCTCCTGAATCACCTCCCTCCGCCCCTGCTCCTCGTCGTTGATGAAGGAGAGCAGATCCGACACGCTGGAAGGTAATGGGGAGGATTTGGGGGGGGTGGGGGGGGTGGGGAAGTGAACGAGGGAGGGGACGATGAATAGAGAAGGTCAGGCGGCCGCCACGCTTGCTCCTCATTGTTGAGGAAGCAGAGCAGCTCAGACACGCGGGGCAGTGATGGGGAGGAGTTGAAAGGGGAAGAGTGAGGAGAGGGAAAGTAGAGACTCATGCTCTCACACGCACGTGTCTCACGTATAAGCTCTCTCACCTGAGGTGCCCTTTAGAGGCGATGGTGGCGTCTGGCTTGGGCGTGCCTGTGCGGGCTGCCTCCTGCTGCTCTGCTGCCTTGCTCTCAAAGTACTCCAGCCATGCCGCCGCGTCCTGAACAAGGGGAAGGGGGTGAAGGGGGGGGGGGGAGGAGAGGGAGTTGAGAGATGAGACTGGCCCTTGCTGCCTTGCTCTCAAAGTACTCCAGCCATGCCGCCGCGTCCTGATGGAAATGGGGGTGGGAGGGGGTTTGAGAGAGGGGGCGAGAGACAGGGTGAGGGAATTTTGAGAGATGAGGCTGACCCTTTCTGCCTTGCTCTCAAAGTACTCCGCCATGAAGCTGCGGCGTCCTGGGAGAGGGGGAAGAGGGAGGGTGAGAGTGAGGGTGGGAGAGAGTGTGAGATGAGGGTGAACCTTGCTGCCTTGCTCTCAAAGTACTCCAGCTAGGCCCCAGTGTCTTGATGGGGGATGGGAGGTGAATGGGAGGGTGAGATGGGGAGAGAGCGTGAGAAAATCGTAAGAAATGAGGCTGACCCTTGCTGCCTTGCTCTCAAAGTACTCCTGCCACGCCGCCGCATCCTGATGGGGGGTTGGGAGGGTGAGAGAGAGCGTGAGAGGTTCGAAAGAGTTGAGGCAGCCCCTTACTGCCTCGTCCATCTACAAAATCGCCTCATATCGGTGCTCTCCCATTCAGATGAAAAAACGGCTGAGTCGGGAAAACAAAAGGGGACAACTCACCAGCGTTCTGAGATCGTCTGGGCCCAGTTTCGCCTGCAGCATAGTCTGCTTTTTGAGGCGCCTTACAAAAAAAAGCCTCAACTCACCAGCGTTCTGAGATCGTCTGGGCCCAGTCTCGCCTGCAGGATGTTGAGAGTGGTCTGCTCGTGCTGCACGGACAGCGCGTACGCGTCCATGAGTGACAGCGCAATCGCAATCGCATGGTAGCTCGCGGCTGTCTGGATGTGGTCGGGGCCCAGCAGGCGGTGGTTGCAGCGCAGCGCGCGGTGCAGGTAGCGCAGGGCGAGGGCGAGGTGGGAGAGCCCGTGCAGCATCATGGCCATGTTGATATATGTGGCCGCGCTGTTGGGGTGCTCCGACCCGCACGTCAGGTGCAGCAGGTACAGCGCTCGCTGCACATATCTGTGGGGGAGAGGGAGGGGGAGAACGGGGTGGAGGGAGGAGGGAGGAGCAGGGATGGAGAAGAGGGGAGAGGAACAGAGCAGAAAAGAGTGAGGGGGAGCGCAGGGAGTGGCGGTGCAGGTAGCGCAGGGCGAGGGGGAGGAGGGAGAGGGCGTGCAGCATCATGGCCATGTTGATGTATGTGGCCGCGCTGTTGGGGTGCTCTGACCCGCACGTCAGGTGCAGCAGGTACAGCGCTCGCTGCACGTACCTGGGGGAAGGTGGGGGGTAGAATGGGCAGGGGAGAGAAGGGAGGATGGGGGAGGGAGGAGGGAGGAGGGAGGGGAGTGAGCTGTTCGCCGTAGCTCTTCATGGTGTTGGGGTGGTCAGCCCCAGCTCCATGTCATGAGTGACGTTCCTGAGAAAGAGCACATGTATCACATGCACGCACTATGATGAGTGCACACCCACCCACCCACCCACCTGATGGCCAGCTCTGCGTGCTGCAGTCGATAATAAAAAACCGCAAGGTCGCCATAGCTATTCATGGTGTTGAGGTGGTCCAGCCCCAGCTCTGTAACACACGTGTCACATGCATGCATACACTGCAAGGGCACACCCACCTGATGGCCAGCTCCGTGTGCTGCAATCGATAGTAGAACACAGCGAGGTCGCCATAGCTCTTCATGGTATCAGGGTGATCCAGCCTCCAGCCCCAGCTCCATCCGTGACTGGGGTACTCAAGCCAACAGCACCCGTATCACATGCACGCACTGTGAGTGCACACCCACCGAATGGCACCCATCCACCCACCCACCTGATGGCCAGTTCCGTGTGCTGCAGTCTATGGTAGAACACTGCCAGGTCGCCATAGCTCTTCATGGTGTCAGGATGATCCAGCCCCAGCTCCCTGACACGATAATCGCATGCACGCATTGTGAGTGCACACCCACCCACCCACCCACCTGATCGCCAATTTCGTGTGCTGCAGGCGGTAGTAGAACACAGCCAGGTCGCCGTAGCTCTTCATGGTGTCGGGGTGATCCAGCCCCAGCTCCCTCTCGTTGATGTCGAGAGCGCGCTGCTGGTAGATGGTGGCCTGGTTGAAGTCCCCTGTGTGATACAGCACCACGGCCAGCAGACTGTACGCCCCTGCTGTCATGCGGTGGTACGCACCACACACTGCTATGAGCTTCGTCAGGGCCTGCAAGTTGTGTGTGGGAGAGGGGAGACAGGGGGGGAGGCAGCAGAGCAGGCAGGAGGGCAGGAATGAAGGAGGGCAAGAGATGGGTAACAGGGTGTGTGGAGCCCCAGCTCCCTCTCATTGATGCCGAGGGCGCGCTGCTGGTAGATGGTGGCCTGGTTGAAGTCCCCTGTGTGATACAGCACCACAGCTAGAAGACTGTACGCGCCTGCTGTCATGCGGTGGTACGCCCCACACACCGATATCAGCTTGGTGAGGGCCTGGCGTTGTGTGTGAATGGGGGGAGGGCAGAAGGGTGGGCAGGCAGGAGGGAGAGCAGGAGAGGGTTGATGGTGGCCTGGTTGGATAAGTCCCCTGTGTGATACAGCACCACAGCTAGAAGACTGTACGCCCCTGCTGTCATGCGGTGGTACGCCCCACACACCGATATCAGCTTGGTGAGAGCCTGCAAGTTGTCATGTGGAGAGGGGAGGGCAGGGGGGCAGGGAGGAGGGAAGGCAGGAGGGAGGGTAGGAGGGAGGGCAGGAGGGAGGGCAGGGAGGAGGGCGGGAGGGAATCAACTTTCAACCAGCCTGGACGTGCAGTCATCCCCCATCGTGCACCCCTTTCACCCACCTTCTACATATTTTCCCTTTCTTTGTACACAAGGAACCAATTGCCTTTGTCAATTGCCGCCAATCAGTCACCCCACAACTCGTATGCCTACTACCCAACTCTACCCCTTCCAGCCACATTTCACCCCTTTCACCCACTTTGCACCGCTTTCTCCTACCTTGGTACCGCAGGAAACCGCTTCGTCGAGCTTGCCCTTGTCGAGAGCTGCCTTGGACGCCTCAAGCAGTGTGCGGCCATCAGCTGACGTGCACAGCACGTGCTGCAGGGCAGGGATGGTGGGGGGAGGGATTGGGGAGAGTTGGGAGAAATCAGAGGAGAATTACGAGGGAGAAGGGAAAAGCTGAGTGTTGCTTTGTTCTGTCTGTGGCCAGTGTGTGCGGCTATCAGCTGACGTGCACAGCACGTGCAGCAGTGAGGGTATGGATGGAAGAGGGCTTGGAGAATCCAGAGAAGAAACGCGAAGGACATGGGAAAAGCTGCATGCGGTTCTGTCCCTAAGCAATGTGTGCGACCATCAGCTGACATGCACGGCACGTGCTGCAGTGTGGGGAGGGTTAGGGGAGGGTTTGGACGATTGAGGAAAAACGAGGATTGAGGTTGGGGATTAAAAGCGGGGAGGGGCAAAGGGAATGGAGGTACGAGGAAATGGAAGGCACGGGGACTGAGAGACGCGAGAAGGGAGAAAGCGTTGGGAGAATGTAGCTCCCCAGTGCCGCTTCGAGGTGAATATAAGAGGAGAAACTGACCTTGAGCACGGGAACCATGGAGACTATGTCAGTGGCCTGGAAGGGCGTAGGTGAGTTGAAGTCGTAGGACTTGGGGGCGATCTCAATGCCCGCCTGGGGGTCGAGGGGAGAAGGGAGAAGGGAAAGAGTAAGGGAAATTGAGTGAAAGGTGAACTTGGAAGGTGTGAATGGGGTGAGGGTAGGCTCTGACACTGAGAGGCCAAAGGGTGGTCGGAAGGGAAGCCAGGGGAGGAGCGTGACAGACAGACACTGAGAAAGGAAGAACAGAGGCTGAAGCAGCAAGTGGACAAGAAAGTCCGCCCGCCCACAGAGTGGCTGAGAGCACTATGAGCTGCGAGCTAGGGACCCACCTTGAGGCAGAGCGCTCGGAGCAGCGAGAGCATGCGCAGACCCGCCAATGCCTCATCGTCCAGGTGAAAGCCGAACCGCACGCGTGCAAACACACGCACCCACCGCCACACCATGCCTCCCAATGACGTCTCTGCTTCCCCCCCTCCCCTCCCTTCCCCCTTTTTATGCATGGACGACCCAAAGATGGCGTTGAAAGTAGCAGCGATGCTGGCTGCTAGCAGGGAATGGGAAGCACCAGCACCAGCACCAGCACCAGCACCACCAGCTGCACCAGCAGCAGCAGGTGCAGTGGCAGCAGTGGAGAGTGCAGTGGTGGTGACAACTGCTTGGATGACGTGCTTTAATGCCCGCGCCACCATCTCATGTACTGCCAACGACCGCACGTGGGGGAGCTTGTCTGCTAGTGCAGCCTGGGGCAGCAGCACAAGTGGTGGAGAAATCGGAGCAGAATACGGGGGTGAGGGAGGAGTACAGGGAAGTGAGGAGGACCGACGAGGCAGAGGAGTGAGGAGAAAGCGAGGGAGGCAGCCTCGTCTGAATCATAATTAACGCAGCACAGGGCCACAGGGCATGTGGCCGATTAGCCGATGAGCTGGCAGAAGAGCCAATGGGTAGCACTGACCACTTGTGAAGGGTTCTTATGCACAGGGGGGTCAGCTCACTAAAGAGCATGTGGTGGAATTGCCAGTAGCAGAGTGGGAGGTACTGACCACTTTGCCAAGGGATCGCATGCGCAGGCCGCGGGTGTGCATGAAGTCAGTGAGCGTGCGGCCATCCACAGGGGAAAGCTCGAGAGAGGCGAAGTCAGAGACCTTGGGAGGGCCAACAGGAGAGGCGGGGAGAGGAGTGGGTGGAAAGGAGAGGGAGGGCGAGGAGGTGAGAAAAAGCGATAGGGAGACGGCTTAGAGAGAGACCATCCACAGGGGAAAGCTCCATCCAGAGAGGCGAAGTCAGAGACCTTGGGAGAGCGAACAGGAGAGGCGGGGAGAGGGGGGAAAGGAATCAAGAGAAGCGTGCATTCGAAGCCCGCCTAAAAAAGACAAGCAGCTAATTGAGACAATAGGATGCGCTTAGGACGCACTTTTCCAGTTATTCAACTAATTATTGCGTATAGGATGGATTCCGCCAAAACGCTTACCAGCTTAGAGAGGGCAGTGTTCCTGTAAAAGTCCCGTGCTCCCTGCTTGAGCTCCTGGACGGTCTGTGGGCAACGGTACAAGAAAGGGGGAAGTCTTAAGACATGCCAAGAGTGGAAGGTGGAGCAGAACGCCCATGCCAAGAACACCAACGGGCTAGAAAGCAGAGATAGTTCTAAGCATGTTGCTTATGCCATGCAATGCAACACGCAGCCACTCCATCGAGAGACACAGAAGCCAGAGACGGGACTGGATAAAGTGGCTAATCAGCAGAGTGGGAAGCAGCAGGGCGGCTCACCCTGTCATGCAGCCCCACATCCGCCTTCTTGAGCTTCTCATACTTGCTCTCGCCCAGCAGCTGCAGCAGCTCTCCCAGACGTCTCAAAAACAAACTTCTATCACGCGCAGAACAGAGGGAGGCAATAGGCTCACCATAGCATGCAGCCCCACGTCCGCCTTCTTGAGCTTCTCATACTTGCTCTCGCCCAACAGCTGCTGCAGCTCTCCCTGTTGCCTGCCTGCTGTCAGGGGCTCCTCTTGCATTCCACCTGCTGCCTCCCCTTCGCCCGCACCAGCAGTCGCCAGGACAGCAACTCCTGTAGTGGAAGCAGACGGGTTAGCATCAGCAGTGCTGGCATTAGCAGCAGTGGCAGCTGCAGCTACGGCTCCTGGCGCTGCAACTGCACCCCCACTCTCCTCTCCTTCTGCTTCCCCTTCTTTTCCACCACTGCCTGCCTTCACCCCATCGTCCTTTTCCTGCCCACCCCCTTCTGTACCCTTCTTCTCACCATTCTCCACGCTCGTCCCCTCCGCCTTGGGTGGGTTCTGCAGGTGCTGCACCCAGCACGCCCCCAGCTCCCACCTCAGAATGCCATCCCCAAACACATCCTCCTCCTCCTCATCATTATCCTCCTTCTGCGTCTCCTCTCCCTTCTCCTCCCCCTCCTTCACACTCTTCTCCTCCGCCTCACCCGCCTCTACTATTTTCGCCTCTCCAGCTCCCTCTGCTGCTGCTCCTTCTCCCACCCCCGTCATCTCTGCACCCTCGTCGCCCTTCTCACCCTCCACACCCACTTTGCTAACTTCGATGGCCCCAACTGCCTGTCCCTCCATCACCACACCTCCCTCCCCAACTCTCATCCCTCCCTCCGCCACACTCTCCTGCCCCTCTACAGACTTCTCCGCTAAGGCACTCTTCCTAGCCATTCGCTCCCTCTGCTGGGCTTCTTCCTCCTGCTGCAGCCGGGCCAGCCCAAGAGACAGCACCTGACGCAGAGTTGCCTCAGCTGCAGCACCATCAGCAGCAGAGCCAGCAGCAGCAGGAGCAGGAGAAGTGGCCGGGGCACTTGTGGTAGTGTTGATTGTGGCAGTGTTGCCTGAACGTGTTGGGGCATGCAGGAGGATCCGAAGGCTGCAACACAAGAAAAGGAAAGAGGATGCGCATAGGTGACTGACTGACGGATAACGTGTGTGTATTGCGCTGTGAGAGGCTTACATTGGTAAACCGGTAAGCAAGTGAAGATTCAGAATGTTCAAGTCAATAGGTGCTACAACGAATACGTGGATGAGGTGCAGTTGTGGAACTTAATGAATGGTACGAGCATACCAATGAAATGAATGGAACAGGCATAGACGACAGCATCAAGCTTGCACCATGCCTCACCTGTTGGCGTTGAGAGCGTTGGCGCCTGCTCTTCCTGCTCTGGAACATCCAACTCCAGCAACCTCTCCTCCTCTTCCTTCTCCCCCCCATCCTTTGCTTCCTCTCTCCCTCTTGCACGTACCCCGCCATATCTCTCTCCAGCCCCCCTCTTGTCCCCATCCTCTGCCGTTTCACCCGTCCTGCCCTCCTTCCCATGTCCCTCTGCTCCGCTATCACCATCACCCTCTTTGCCATCCCGGCCTGCCTTTCTCTCCCTCAGCGCCTGCAGCTGCGCCTGTAGCTGCTGGGCGCGCGCAGGGGCGTCAGGGACGGTCACTCGCGCTGTGAGGCCCTGCAGGTGAACGATGACTGTGCCCAGGGACTCCAGGTCCTGCGAGGGTGGGGGAATGGCGGAGAGGAGGGGGAGAAGAATATGTAAGCTGGACGGGGTTGGAGGAGAGAGTCTTTCAAGGGACTGTCACTCGCGCGGTGAGGCCCTGCAGGTGAACGATGACTGTGCCCAGGGTCTCCAGGTCCTGCGTGGGTGGGGGAATGGCGGAGAGAAGGGGAGAGGAGAGTATGGAAGCTGGACGGCGGAGGAGATCATAGTCTTCTCAAGCACTGTCATTTGGGCAGTGAGGCCCTGCAGGTGAACGATGACTGTGCCCAGGGACTCTAGGTCCTGCGTGGGTGGGGTGGGATTTGGGAGGGGAAAGGGGGAAAATGGGCGGAAAGAGAGGGGGAGAGGGTATGGAAGCCAGACGGGGAGGAGGAGAGAGTCTTCCAAGGAACTGTCACTCGCGCAGTGAGGCCCTGCAGGTGAACGATGACTGTGCCCAGGGACTCCAGGTCCTGCGTGGGTGGGGGAACGGCGGAGAGAGGTGGAAAGTTTGTAATTCGGGTTGTCAGTTCAAGGGTTGCACAGAAGCACATTGTTGGCTGTGGGGGATTGGGGGGAGAGTGATGGGCATGGGTGAGGATTAACGAACTCAGGGTAGAAAAGATCGCCCACTCACATGAACTGCTGTGCTCTCATCAGCTGAAATCCCCTTCAAGAGGCTCTTCATTGCCATGCGCTCTTTCTCCCCCTCCCTCTCCCCCTCCGCCACCCTCCTCCACCCCACCTCCACCTTCGACAGCACCTTCCCACTCGGATCCTCCTCTCCCTTCATTACAGTCACACGCATCGCCCCCTGCTGCTGCACCAGCAGAACCCCAACCTCCGCCACTGCTACCGAACCTGACGACCCAGGCTCGGCAGAAGCCCGAACCAGCAACACTGCCTCAGCTGGAGTAACCGCGTCCGCCCCAGCAGCTGCTGCCAGTCCCCCAGAAGCTGCTGCTGCAGCAGCAGTGTTGATGGCAGAAACAGCTTGGCGAGTGGCGGTATCCACAAAGAGGGAATGCAAGAGGAAGGCCTTGCGATCCCTCACCACACGCTCCTCAGGAGTGTCACAAGGGAGAAGAGAGAGCACTGCTAAGTCCCTCGCCCAGTCCCTGCCTGCTACTGCCCCATCCCTGGCTGCACATAAGTCCGTTTCCTCCCTCTCCTGCTCCTCCTGCCGGCCATAGCCGCCCCCGTTCCCTCCCCATGCCCCGTCTTCCATGGGGAGTTGGGGGAAGACGGAGGGACTGGCAGCCGCGAGTGGAGGGACAACCCATGTGTTGGACCTGAAACCGTAAGGCGTGTTGCCAAGCTGCCACGGCGAGAGAAAGCAGAGGATGGACGGCATGACACTTGATTAGCAAGCACTCCTCCGCAAAAGAAAAACAGCAGCCATGTTCGTGAAGCAACAGCGATAAAGAAGTTGTGAGTTAACCATCGTAGCAATGCTGGGCAACAAACTAGTGAGGTGACTGTACCTTGTTTCTTTCCAGGAAGAGCGCAAGCAAGTCGTCATAGGCCTGCGACGCAGGAAGGCAGAGAGGGAAGTAGAGAGGTTAAAAAAGACAGGGTTTACCGGGAGATTAGGGCCAATAGAGGACTTCGAACATTGACCTGTTTCGAACAAGAACGCCATATAAAAAAACAGGCACCGAGGCACTCACTCGCCATCTCACAGAGTTAAGGCAACGTGAATCCTGCAGCAACACAGAGCGATGGCTCACCTTGGCGAAGGGCTTGCTCATGAGGCGCAGAAGGGCCAGGAGGGTGGGCGCGTGCAGCCTGTTCCTGGCACACAGGAACCCCTGTGTGGTGGCAACCACCAGCACCGTCTTGCCCGTGCACAGCCGCACCTGCAGTCCGCAGCAAGCAGTCGGCGGCAAGCAAGCAGGAGGGGGGATTGCACAGTCAACTTAGAATTGAGGTCAGAAGAAGGACCACGAGGGTGGGTGCGTGCAGCCTGTTCCTGGCACACAGGAACCCCTGTGTGGTGGCAACCACCAGCACCGTCTTGCCCGTGCACAGCCGCACCTGCAGTCCGCAGCAAGCAGTCGGCGGCAAGCAAGCAGGAGGGGGGATTGCACAGTCAACTTAGAATTGAGGTCAGAAGAAGGACCACGAGGGTGGGTGCGTGCAGCCTGTTCCTGGCACACAGGAACCCCTGTGTGGTGGCAACCACCAGCACCGTCTTGCCCGTGCACAGCCGCACCTACAGTCCGCAGCAAGCAGTCGGCGGCAAGCAAGCAGGAGGGGGGATTGCACAGTCAACTTAGAATTGAGGTCAGAAGAAGGACCACGAGGGTGGGTGCGTGCAGCCTGTTCCTGGCACACAGGAACCCCTGTGTGGTGGCAACCACCAGCACCGTCTTGCCCGTGCACAGCCGCACCTACAGTCCGCAGCAAGCAGTCGGCGGCAAGCAAGCAGGAGGGGGGATTGCACAGTCAACTTAAAATTGAGGTCAGAAGAAGGACCACGAGGGTGGGTGCGTGCAGCCTGTTCCTGGCACACAGGAACCCCTGTGTGGTGGCAACCACCAGCACTGTCTTGCCCGTGCACAGCCGCACCTGCAGTCCACAGCAAGCAAGATAAAGTCCAGAGGCGAGAGACACGCGGTAAGCGGGAATTGTAAAGAAGAGGCGAGCAGCAAAAGGCAGGCAGCAAGAGACAAGCAGCAGAAAACAAGCAGTAGTAGGCAGCCAGCATGAAGCAAGCACGAAGAGGACAGTTACCTCAGAATTGACCAAGCGCCCTGCCTTGTGGTGGAGGGGGGAGAGCGGGAAAAATGAGAGCACGAGGAGGAGGAGGGAGAGAGAGACAGGGCGCTACCTTTTGAGGCGTCTCAAAAGAATTAACCAGGCGCCCTGCCTTTTGGTGGAGGGGAAGAGCGGGAGTACGAGGAGGAGGGAGAGAGAGACAGGGCGCTGCCTGGGATAGACAGGCAACGTGAGGAGGCGAGAGTGCTAGTGGATCATACCACTTGCAACTTCCCAGCCCAGAGACGACACCCACCCACCTCTATGGGGAAGAGCTCAGTGCCCATATCCGACATGTCCTGTGCACCGCTCTTCTCTGCCCCCTTGGATTCTGTTTAATTTTGAGACGTCTCAGAGATAAACTTCTTTCACGCACCCATGCACCTCTGTGGGGAAGAGCTCAGCGCCCATATTCAGCATGTCCTGTGCGCCACTTTTCTCTGCCCCCTTGGCACTCGAGAGAGTACAAGTGGATCAAACTAGCTGCGACTGACCAGCAGTGACAACACCCACGCACCTCTATGGGGAAGAGCTCCGTGCCCACATCCGGCATGTCCTGTGCTCTGCTCTTCTCTGCCCGCTTGCCATTGGTGGACCCGGTTTTGAGTCGACTCAAAAGTCACCTTGCACTAGCTGCAACTGTCCAGCCCAGAAACGACAGTTACGCACCTCTATGGGGAAGAGCTCCGCGCCCACATCCGGCATGTCCTGTGCACTGCTCTTCTCTGCCCCCTTGCCCTTGGCGGACCCGCGCAGGGATCTGCGTATGGCTGTGGTGGAATGGAAATGGGGCATGAGAAGAATTAGCATAGCGACCACCGCACCCAGCCTTGGGCCAAGGTGATATTCTAGTCGACTTGAAAATATTCGGCAGAGACCTGCGGATGGCTGTCGTGGAGAGGAGGTGGGGCATGGGGAAAATTAGCACAGCAGCAGCTGCACCCAGCGTTGGGCCATGGCATCAGACTGACGCCTCCCCTTGATCTCTGGCCCAGCCAGGTCAGCCAGGGAATCAGGAACGCAGTTAGCAGAGCTTATAGGCTGAGAAAACTCAGGAGGTTCAAGAATTGAGGTGGCTGACAGAAGAAACAGCAGTGGCAGGAATGCTTTCGGCTCGGGGTCCTCGCTGCAGGAAAGCCACTGCACTCACCTTGAATGGGCGGAGTGAGGTGAGCAGCAGACAGAAACTCATAGAACTCCCCCAGCTTTGACTCCTCAGGGAACATCCCTGTCATGTCGCCCTTCTCTGTAGCCGCTGCTGTTGGCTCAGGGACTCTCCTCACAGCAGAAGATCAAGCACTCACCTTGAATGGGCGGAGTGAGGTAAGCAGCAGACAGGAACTCATAGAACTCCCCCAGCTTCGACTCCTCAGGGAACATCCCTGTCATGTCGCCCTTCTCTGTGGCCGCTGCTGCCGCCGCCATAGCCTCCACCGCCTCCCTCTTCCCCTTGAACCGCCGCTTGCCATCCGCGCCCGTCACAAACAGGTCCTTCCCGGCCTCTATCCCCGCCTCCTTCCCCACTTCCCCCAGCTCTTTCCCCAGCTTTTGCGCACTCTCTGCGCCGTCCACGTGTTTTCCACCTGCCGGCCGCCCCCCCGCCTCTACAGAAGCGCCTGCCTGCCCCCTTGCTCTTGCTGCTTCGCCCGGCTTCTTCTTAAGGAAGCTGCCGACGTCCCCCAACCCCAGCACTTTGCCGAATTCCGCCACGCTACTGCTAGCCTCGGGGTCTGGTTCATGGATGGGGGCCAAGGCTGTATCAGTACCGCCTGGGTTTGCAGGCTCGGTTGCTGCCGAGCCTGCATTGCTGCCTTGGTGAGGGGTGGCGGACGTCGGTGCAGACGCTGCTGCAGCTGCAGAGACAGACGGTGATACTGCTGCTGCTGCTGCTGCTTCTGCTTCGGCTTCTGCTGCAGCTGCTGCTTCAGCCTCCTCGCGTTGCTTGGTAGAGGGTCCGAAGGCGGCAGTGCAGGACACGATGTCCAGCAACCGGCGGATGTGGGCCTTGGCAGATGCCTCCGTGTACTCCTCTGCATGATGGTTGGGCAGGTCGGAAGGGAGGGGAAAACACGTTGAGTGCCAGTTAACGGATGAGGATACGATGTCAAGAAGCTGGTGGATGTGGGCCTTGGCAGATGCCTCCGTGTACTCCTCTGCATAACGGGGAATCACCATAGGGTTGATAAAAAGATGAATGCCAGTTAAGGGATGAGGACACGATGTCAAGACGCCGGTGGATGTGGGCCTTCCTCTGCATGATGGGGAATCACCATAGGTTTGAGCAGGGGGAAGAAAGGGGGTTCCAGAACAGGGTGCCACACTAGATGTGTGAACAGCTGTTCCAGTTAGTGAAAGGTGTCTCAGACAGGAAGGCGCCAGACAGAGTTAAGCAGCTTGCAAGTTGTGGGCTATGGCGGATGACCCTATGTACCGGTGGTGGGGTATGGCCAAGGGAAGGGGGAGGGACAGAAGCTGACAGTCCAGGATTAGCTTGTGTTTTGGGCTTGTGCAGCTCTTAGTTATCTTGTTGTTCTCAGTCACATTGATACTTCCCGGCCAAGGGAAAGGATGTGGAAGTCTGGCGTGTTCTAGAATGGAGGATAGAAGAGAAGATACCACAGAGTAGCCTGGGAAAACGCGGGGCGCATGAGGGATGAGGAAAGGGAAGGTGAGCAGCGGTTGAGAAACACAACTTCTGCAGTACTTCCATGTCTTGTAAGCCAAGCAGAGGGGGCAAGATGGACCGAAAGGATGTATCCTCACCCTGAACAAGGTCAAGGACGCAAGGCTTGAGTGCTACCACATCCACTGAGTCTCGCAGATGAGGCCCGCGGACCTGCACTCGACGGGAAGCGGAAGAGTGACAGAAGTAGTGACAGAAGTAGTGAGGAGAGACGACACGATGGAGTCAGTCGGAACGACCAGCAAGTTAGCTACAGCTTATGAGAACCCCAAACCAACACAAGGACTTAGAATCCACCAGTGGAGTCCATAGGGTGGAGATGAGAGGGACATAAGGCAGTATTGATCAGCACGCACCTCGTGTGCGAGGGAGAAGTTGGTGAAGTGGCATGTGTCCACGTGGACGGCCAGGAGCCGTCGGACGTCCCATATGCGGTCTGTTGAAATTCCCTGCAGCAGGTTGGGTTATCATTGAAGAAAGGATAAGGTGCCCTTCTTCGACTTAAGCGCTTGATACCAGGTTAGTTGGCTTGGGTTGCGTCAGCTGTCTCGTGAGTGAAAGAAACTCCGATCAAATGTCTTTTAGTTCATTGTTCGGATTCGTTCAAAACTGGGTGACAGATTGTAGGGACTAACCTTGAGCAGGATCTGCTTTCCTCCCGGAACGTTGACCACTATGTCTAGAACCGTGGGAATCACTGCAACGGGATGGAACCAGTAGGAGACAATACTCTCGTGCGGTTAAAACATTCAGACAGGGCGAAAGCATGAAGTGACTGGGTTCGTTGAAAGCAGCTGGGTAGCTTCATTGGTTTCGGATTTGAGAGAGTTGAGAAGGGGGGAAATTGTTAAAATATTATTCAGTTTTTGTACAACTATCTAGTTATCCACAATGTGAGGCGTAATTTCGCGCTGACTTACCCTTTTCTTCCTTTTTCCTCTTCTCGGACCGGGGTTTATGACCCTTCGACTTGGCTGCTCCTTTAGCCATAGCTCTTCCGTTCAGAAGATTTTCAATGAAAGTATTGAAATACTAGCCTCCGGCAGAACTGCAGAGCAGCGAACGATTCAAACAGGTCGTAATACTACACAGGTGGCGGCTGTAACCAAATCGTAAGGGTGACTATACAATGAAGATAATTTCTTGGCGCTACAGAACGTGCAGACAAGTTGACGAAGCTTCGATGCATCAGGGAAATCAAACAGCATTCGCCTTCGCGGCTGAGACAAGCTGAAATGGCTCGAACTACGCCCAAGCTTTAGATAGTGAACGCGTAGATACTTCTTGTGTAATGCTGGTCTGCTGTTTCATTCTCAGTCACTATCGACCTGCTGGTTTGGGAAACCCGAGGAAACAAAACGGACTTCAGTTCGTGATACTAGCCGATGGAGGATGATGGTGAAAGCATTCGTGATGGTGACTGTGCAAGCAATCATGCACTCATTCGTGGTCGGTCCCTTCCGAGTCAAGGTCGGAAACTCGGGGCTCCAAGATTTTTGTCTATTCGCATGAGCCTTGGGACCATCAGAGAGGGCTTTGGCGGCTGCTGCTGCCATCAGCAATTGCTGGTTCCTGAATCCTCGTTGGAATGGCTCTGTGGCAGATGAGCTGTGCGGAGTTCCCAATGTAATCCAGAATTTCTGATCAGGGATCAGCCAGGCAATCCCCAGGTCCATCCTCCCAATGCTAATGGGGATGGTTGAGTTCCCGTCACGCAAGCAGTATGACAATGACGTGGCACATTTGGTGCAGTGTTTATATGACGTGGCGAACACAGAGGGATGTCCCTGTCGACGCGTCTTTGAGGATGTTTGCCACGCGTGAGGAGGCGTAACAGGCTTATCGGGTATTCAGGACGAATCACGTGCTCGCGAGACCTGTCCCTACGGCACCAACAGAGCCATATGCCCTCACAATGGCCTCCGCGAAAGAACGGCGAACTTCGCGACATGCAAATCCGCTGCTCAAACGTCGTCGTGATGAAAGGATTGTCCTTCATGATGACGTGGAGGGTTCACTTCTGTCACTGTCACAGCAGGTGGATTGCCCCACCCGACCCGAGCCGAAATTTCTAGGGTAAGTAGCTTTGGCAGGGGTACTACTAGCGACCCTGCGCTTTGAAGGGGACTACAGAGCCAGTAGCGGGCACTTTCCACCCATCCGTGCCTCAGACAGGAAAGTTATGGAAACAAGACAGTAATCTTCACCATATTCACCCACGTGTCACCATAATCCTGATCGAATTCACACTCTGGGTGGTTGGCTGCCACACTGTTCCGCAATCTGACATGCTATTGTTTCGCGCCCTAAATTTCGGAACACAGGCCCCGTCAGCAGGCAAGTAAAAAAAATAAACCCCACATAGAAGGCATGCCATTCGGGAGCCTCAACCCTAAAATTTTAGGGTTGAGGCTCCCGAATGGCATGCAGTCTGACTGGGGTTTATATTTTTCAATTCGGGAGCATCAACCCTAAAATTTTAGGGTTGAGGCTCCCGAATGGCATGCAGTCCGACTGGGGTTTATATTTTTTGCCCGCGGTCAGATTGGCCTCGATTTGGCAGAAGGGACAAAATTCAGTTGCGCACAGTTGGTCAGGTTGGTCTGTACAGTAGTTGGCTTGGAAATTGATGACACGTGGATGAATGTGGTGAATATTACTGTCTTGTTTCCATAACTTTCCTGTCTGAGGCACGGATGGGTGGAAAGTGCCCGCTACTGGCACTGTAGTCCCCTTCGAAGCAGGGTCGCTAGTAGTACCCTGCCAAAGCTACTTTCCCAAATTTCTACTGCTGTTTGGACAGCTCGACGGCAGTATCCACGTAGCGCAGATTCATTAGCCAATGAATCCAGGCCTCGGCGGCTGCCAATATTCAGCGCGACGAGCGAAAGCTGTCAGCTATTGGATAATGTGACACATAATACATTCGAGTCATTTCTGGAAGTACACTCATGTGTACATTTTTTCACAATATCGAACATGTTGCTGAAACGTAGACTTCAGTTTCCAAGCTAATGAAGTGCCCCAACCCAACTAGTTGACTGAAGGTGAACAGAGTAAAAATAATGTGCTGTATGTGTTGTGTTGCCTCAGCTTCTTGTTGTACGGGGTGCGTCCTTCATAGAAGAGTACAAACGTCAATGAGTGAAGTGGACCATTCGATTTTGCAAATATTTTCACAAAGCTTGCTTTACATCCATCCAACAAAATTACCACCTCCATACAACCCTACAGCGCCCTCGCCACAGGGGGGTTGACTGGTAACCTAGCAAAGTGGACTCGATTAGGTACACCGCACAGCAACACTTAGGAGTGAGCACGCCTGTGTTCCTGTGCATGCACCAGCATCAGCCCTGCTCCTGCTAGCTGCAGATTTCACATCCCAGGCTCATGCTCATGCTGACAGTCCTTGGGGCTTTAAGAGGAGGCCGCAACCCGGTTGCGAGGGGTTGCTTGTGTTCCTGAGAGAACCGGCGCAGAAATTGTGGTGTGGGGAGACAATTGTGCAGGAGGACGTTAAGTGGTTGAGGTGCTAAAAGAGATACACACACAGAAATGACTGAGGACGCAGGGGTATTGTAAACAAGGAAAGGCAGATTCGTTTACAAATGATTAGCAGGCAGTCACATCACTCGACATGCAAGATACATGAACCCTCCGAGCTCCATGCCCATGCCGTTTGCAAACCACACACTCATCCCGTTTGCACACTGCTTACATAATCACCGATACCCTAGTAGGCTCTTCATATGTGTTTCTCTCAAAATTTCCCGACAACTTCCAACCGAATCCCTCGCTTTCCCTGAGAAAAATGGCATTCCAATATACCACCGAAATGGCCATACCAAAATCCCAAAGACTACCCTCATCCGCTCACCTTCACGGAATCCGTTCTTGAAGCGGCGGGGCAGGTCCTTGAGATACCGCATGCGGCCCGTGCCCGTGGTCTTGCGCCGGATCGCCTTCACGCTCCAGTTGACTGCGCCACGGGGAAGACGCAAGGGAGGGGGGGAGAAGGGGGAGGAGGGGGGGGAGGGAGCGAGGGGGTGGGGGGGGAAGGGAAGGAGGGAAGGGAGGGGAAGAACGAGGCAGGCTTAGTAAAGTGATAGGTTTGTGACGCATGAGAGGGAGGAGACGAAGGCGAAGGGGGAAGAAAAAGGGGGTTGGGCCCGGGGCGGGGGGAGGAAGGGGGTTGAGAGAGAGGGGAGAGGAAAGCGGGGTATTGAGAGCGTGAGGAAGGAAACGAGCTCGTTTCGTGAAACGGGAATATCCTAACTCATGCGGCACGAAGACGGGAATGGGAGAAGGAAGGAGAGGGAGAATGGAGGGAGGGGAATAGAGATGGCAGTAAAAGAAGCCGCGGGGGGAGGATGAGGGGGGAAGGGGAGAGGGGGGGGGCGGAGAGGGGGGGGGGGATAAACGAGTTATAGACAGGAGATAGAGAACGATGCGAAGGGAACAGAAGTGAGACGCAAGACACAGGGGAAAAAAGGATGAAAGGAAGGAAAAGTGGAGGGGACAAATGAAAGGTGGGGGAATTGGTAGGTGGTCGACACATTCTACGGGATCCATCTGGACTTACACTTGCGCACGCGCGCAGCGGGGTAGCCGCAGGCACCGCATCGGCTCTTCTGAATGTGGTATGAGCGGCGGCCGCAGCGCCGGCACAGCGTGTGCGTCTTGTTGCGGCGCTTACCGAAACTACCCGTTCCCTTTCCCTGCAGTCAGCAACGTTGGAGTAGGGGAGGAGGGGAGAAAATGAGTTTGCAAGACCAGGATCGGAGGGTCATGATGCACAGAGCACCATCAATGGGCATAATTAGAGAAAAACATATTTTTTTTTTACGCCGCGAAAAGGGTACACCGACGCAATTTACACAGTGCCTGACAATTCCTTCGCAACGATACGCCTTTCCCCAGGCTACGCATTGCCGCACGGACCACGTACGAAACATGCCACAGCTAGCGCCTTCGACTATAAGAATCGTGTGTAAGACGTAATACAGGAGTCGAAACCCTAGTGCTCCCTCCAAACGCTCCGACGGGCCCCACACCTTTGAGCATCTATCGTTGCCGTCGAGAGAACGTTAACGATATTATCCACGCGGTAACCGTAACGAGAACAATTCATTTGGCGTTGAACCGAAGAATAAGTGCCTTCAAAAGAAAACAGCATACCATATGGAGCGTACTCGTTAACAGCACCTGTTCGTCCAACTCCTGACGCCTATCTCGAGTGAATGGGCCATCCTGTTCACCCTAAACTGGACAGAAACTACATCCCTAAACTGCAACCCTGCGAATAGGGCGAATATAATCCAAAACTGCAGTCCCTGCATGTTCGTATCTCCCAGCGAACAGAAACGTGACTCCAGCTCGCGTTCATATTCACATCTCCCCAGCAATCCGACAAGAGCTATAACATACTTTCCCGAAGCGTCCGGCATTTGAAAACCCTAACGGTGCCTGCTAACGGAAATCTGTGAACGAAATCGGCGTCAGATAATGCACCCTGACGCCTCCTACAAATCTACAAATCGAAACCATGCGAACTCAATAAACATTAACGGCACCGTAACGGCCCCTTTCTGCGTTTCCGACAGGCTAGTCTGCGATCAGCGGCCAACAATGTATTCGACTCAACCGCGACACGGGTACGAGTGACGGCGGCAGCAAATCGTTTCTACGAGCCTTTCCTGGCGAACGCCGCATCACACCCAGATCCGCGCAACCCTAATCCTGCTTCATCCAACCGCTCTCGCTCCCGACACCGCATTAAGCCCTCCATACCAACCCTCTATGATACTAGTCCCTCCGCCACACGTCTTAACCACACGCGATTCACCCCCGACGCCAAAGCTGGCTACTAAGGAGCACTCACCATGGCGGCTGATGCAGTGTGGCAGGTGTGTGGAGACTAACGGGGAGGAAAAGAGCCAGAGACAGGTAACGAGCAGGATTTGAGAGGCGGGGTTGTGCGTGCTGCGTGG